ATCTTGCGTTTCTGCAGACCTACAGCAGATTGTTTATTTTGCTAGACACAGAGGAAACATGGATGGACTCTTCATTGGCTCAAGATTTACTGCTGAGCTCCAACCAGGCTCCAGTGTGATGTGTATATCTAGAACAGGGCCCCCATATAGCAGCAAGCTCAGTATCCTTTTCACCACATTGGAAAGGACAAAGGGATTGCCTTCCTGAGGAATACAACATTAGATGATCACATCAGTCGATTCATCTTTGTACTGAGCATACAAATAATCCATTCATCCTACTAATTGTGGATACTGGGGGCACAGATCATTCAATAAACTACATACACCAATGTCCTTTAATGGACAAAGGGCAAAAAACCCACATCTGACCCTTTTATATATCTTCTCTGGGGGATGATGCTGGAAAAGGACACCGCATCTCCCCAGAGATCATTTCTACTGAAATTTATGAGGCCTCTCGCACCACTGATGTCCTCTTGTAAGTGGTGAGGTCAGGGTATTAGACAGAAATCACTTGGGAGACTAATTTACCAACAGAAAACATCTTACTGCTCACTTCATTGTGTACATTGAGCCTATATATATATATATATATATATATATATATATAGTTTTAACAGAGATTGATTACTGAAGGCAACAATGGTTTATAATGAACGCAAAGCACCCAGTGTATTCCTCTGTATCATCTTTTCAACACATCAGGTGGTATGGGTTTTTGAAGTGCTATTATACTGTGGTCTCACAATGCAGGAAATGCACATATTGATGACGGAAATGCTTCATTGTGAGATGTGAGATAAATGTGCACAAGCCTATATGCCAGTGTTGTAGCTGACAGTAATGCATGATGGTACTTTATAGAGGCAATTATGAAGGAGACTGAAGGAGGTACAGTCACTACTTGGAAGACAGAAAGAGAAAGAGAGAGAGCGATCAAACAGAGCAGATTGCCACATGAAAGGGAACAGAGTATTCATAAATCTGTCTCATCATGTCTGCACTTTTCTCATCTTTAGTGGTGTTTACTCTCACCCAGGCATGGCAGGTAAAGTTAATACAGAGCGCATTGCAGAGATATTACTTATTTCTTCCTCTTGAGTCTGGTTTTCTGATGTTTTCTGTAACATATTAATATCCAGAGCAGCCAGCTGGGTAATAGAATTTCCTCCTCAGGAAAGATGAACAAAGGGAGAATTGAGGACTGAACAGAAAGAGAAAATTGTATTTGAGGTGAATGATTGTGTGGTCATTGAAATGACTCATATGCCTCACCCAATGTTCAATTATCAAATCATTGCGTATCAGTATACCACAGTCTAAATGTCATTTTTCTTTACCAGAACTACAAGACAAGAGTTATCTGAGACTGCCATAAAAGCAGATCAAAGCAACCATGAAAAATATGTAAAACCCCTAAGATAGCCTGCTGTTATCTCCCTTAAAGGAATTCCTAGAGTTTTTCTCTTATGATTTGAGGTTGTTTGTGGCACTCTGGGAGTGTAAGTCATTCTGAGCTGGAGCAGAGGTTGAGGCTGGAATGTCAGTGAGGGTCAGAGACAACAACCTCTATGTCAGGACTCCAGAAAATGATCCCTTGAGGAGCCAGGTCACTGGAGTCCCACTGTGGACTGGACACACAAAGCTCTGCACCAGTTCATATTCAAACTGATGATGGAGACAAGAAATGTTCATCCACTTATTCTGCTCTGTCATTTGTAGACAGTCCTGGATTAAATCAGAAAACCAACTGATCAACATATTTTAAATGCATCATAAGAAAAATCTGAAACAAGTTGATCCATGTTTGGATATATCACTTATGATAAACGGTTATCATCCGCAGTAGATGATCACGTTATTAAAATATTAACAAGTGAATTGGAGGATCTTTCTTAAGGCAATTTTCTTCATTAGATTAACTTGTGGTTTTGTTGTCATTAAGAAAAGGGCGTTGGCACATCCCCAGATATTAAAGGACCTTTATTTAATGCCAGGCTTCAGCACCAGTATATTATGGTTATTTGTAAAAAGCTTATTTACTGCACTTAAAATACCAACAATATATGTACCTGTTTCACTTGGTTCCATAGTACAATATACATTATGGAATAGTTTAAATGACCTAAGGTTAAAGTCAGTGTTAAAGAAGTTAAGAAGATACTGCATCTCAATAATTCGCTCTTAGCTGCCACCTTCTGGTGATTTTTGATGCTGCGCTAGTGTATCTTGCTGGGGAGAGAGTTCTTACTTTGGGTCACAATGGAGTCTAGGACAGGGGCACCTCTATTCTAGGTCAGAGGTGATTCACATATCAGAAATAAAAACCTAAATCATGTGCAGCCATACCTTCACATAAAACAGTGGAGGTTTGGTGTGCATGAGTTGTATAGAAACAGGGAGGGAATTACCCATAATGTCAGCAGGACAGATTATTGAATCATTACAAACTTTCTGTAGGTTCATGTTGAAAAAAAGATTATACGTGGGAAAATTAGTAATATAGATCCAAGGCATTAAAGGTCCAGTGTGTAACATTTAAGAGGAGCATTAGTGTATAATCACCTGAATATAGGAATAATTGTGTTTTCATTACCTTAGAATGAGTAGTTTTTATCTATAGATTCCATGTGTCGCCTTCCATGGAGTCCCCATGTTGAACCACCATGTTTTGTACAGTAGCCCAGAAGGGACAAACCAAACACTGGCTCCAGATGGGGTTTTTAGAGTTTTTCACAAGCTTTGCAGCCACCATAGTTTTTCTTCGAAGTCTGTTCCAATTCCAAGGTCTTCAGATACAGAGGCAATCGGAGTTCAGTTAGTTACAATCTCCAACTTCACAGCTAGATGCCACTAAATCCTAGACATTGGTCCTTGGACAATCACCTTTGGTTGGTTAAATCATTCTTGGCTGTATTCACGTATGAATGTTTATGTTTTATGTCTAAGCATAAATGGTAAAAAAAAAATATAAAAGGGTTTTCTTTACTTTCTAAGAATGTATATAAATGTCAAATGATGAAAGCTACAAAAATTGCCCCCTGGTGGCTGAAGAAATAAATATTTTATCATCATCATTAGACATTTCTTTCTCTCTTTCTCATTTCACAAGTTTGGCTCAGAACAGGTTTTCAGAAGCATATTGGAGGGAGCATGATGAGGCCTTAACATCACATTTTACAGAGTCTTGGCCACAACATAAGATTCTGATTCAATGTGATATAAACTGTGGCCACATACCTTTTTAACCATAAATTTCACCAGAGGGCACCATGGCACAGCAAAGCGTCCCTCTAGATATTGGTAAAGCTTGCTGGTGCATGTCAATTGTTTTGTTAAAAATATATTTAATATCTTATTTTTTATTAAATATTAAATGTGAAATGTGTTGTGTGCTGCCTGAGGTTCTGTTCTGTACCTCATGCTGCACTCTCTGACCTGTTCTTACAATTCGTCATCTCTGTAGTCAATTAATGTTAAAAAGAAAAACATCAGTTAAGAAAAGTAAGGGGATATGAGTGAGTCTTTTTAACATTGTGGTTGCATAGGCCCTTTCACAGCAGACATTTTGATTTGTCATGCAAAAGCTCAGGTGTTACTAATTACATTAGTAGCACTGCTCTGTTTAAGTCTACCAGTAAATGTCACAGTGAGCCATCATGCACAGTAGCAGGACCCTGAAACCGAAGCAGCTAAATGGAATTCAGTCATCACAAGTTTTAGTATTCACGCCTGTAAAAAAAAAGCCACTGAAAATGTTCTTAAATATTCACAAATATCCACTTTTAAAAGGCAGAATTTGTGGTTTTGGTGGGGAATGTTTTCAGCTGCAGATTTGGTGTGCAAGAGCAGTGCAAAGTTATAGCCCACTGATGAATCCTATTTTAGGTTTTTGAACAGCAATGGTCTTTGATACAGCAGAATAAACTATATTTTAGGCTATGGAGACAATATGGGTTAGGATCAATGTTTTGTTTTCACAGGATATGTTGACAATAGTAAGAACAACAAGTTCTAGAGGTTGGGTGCCCATGTGACAGTTGTCCCATTTGCCCTGTTGTCAATCCAGGTTTAAATGTGTTTATTTCATATATTTTAAGTCTTATGCAAAACCCTTTGAATTGCCTTGTTCTTTTGAGGTGAAATAGACTTAAATTGCCTGTAACCAATCAGGCCAAGATCTCAGACCCCTAAACTCACTGCATGCCAACTGTTTTTCAAGTAACTGTATTAATTGCACATTAAAGTACAAATACTGAACCAGCTTAATTTGTCGCATTGACATGTTAGTGAGACCCAATGCCCACATGGCACAAATCCTAAATAAAGTTGTGTTAAATAGAAATACCACAAAAAAAAAAAAAAAAAAAAAAAAAAAGAAAGGGAGCCCAACACTAAAAGTGTTACCTCCTAACAAGGTTAATCCAAGCAATGCTTGACACAACTTTATGTGTGATAAATTCAACACGGATTGTTGACAAAATGTTCGAGAGTCAAATGAGCACAGTGTAAGTGTAGTTTGGGGACAGTTTTCACATGCACAACAGTCAGTTTGCAGACGCGTAGGCTGGAAGAACCCTCAACCAGCTAACCACCCAGCGCTCCTCCGAGCCGCACGCTGATTGGCCACCAGCGCGTAAAGGCGGAAGTCTACAGAGCAAGGGGATTCCCCGAGGGAAGTTCCCAACTCAACTAGGCTATGTAAAACGTACACTGCCATATCCTCTCCGGCGCTTCTTAACTCTGCATCTGAAGATAGGCGACGACGCTGCGGTGGTGTCAAAACAATAAATATTCGACTTTAAACACTTTACTCGAATGAAGGTAAGAGGAGAGCCGCTCACTGGCGGCGAGTTAAACACTGATCTGGAGGGGAGAGAGAGAGACAGACAGAGAGAGAGAGAGAGAGAGAGAGAGAGAGAGAGATGGCTCGGTCGCTTTATCCACCGTGGGTTGAATGAGCTATGGCTAACCGGTCAGTTACAGTTTAAAGAATACGGAACTGTGTAGGTTTAGGTCTTGAGTTGCACTTTTAAAGAGCTCCACTGCTGTGTCGGTACTGTTAATGTCCTTTTTGTCTAGCTCAGCCTGTTGGATTTACTGTGGCTTCATCCACTGTTGGTGTGTACTATCTCTGGAAGGTAGTGCTGTTACTATGACATTTATTATTAACGACTGATCCATGATTAATAAGCAGCTTTGGGTGAGAGTGTCATCATCTTGTTGTTAATTATTATAATACTACTACTATATCATATGTTATATATATATTATTATATACACCGGTATATAAACTGTAATTGTGCTGCTGCAGTTGCTCGAAAAGTTATTGAAAGTAGTAGTATTGAAAGTCAAGGGGGAAACAAATGTAAGGATTGTTTAAGTGAGTGGCCTTACACAAGTTGTGCAAGAAACTGCAGAATGCATTGAGCAACTTCATTTTGTGTCATTACTTTTGGATGTAGCAGCTGCTCATCTACATCTACAGCACTTCTTACAGGACTACAACAAGGTGTCGATTGTGGAAATGTGAATGCAGTTTTTGCTTTTGGTCGTAAGATGATCTTCCAACTGTCAGTATAAGTACAGGTTAGAAAGTATGTTTACTCAGTTATGCGTTGCATCAGCAGCTCACATAAAACAACCAAACAACCATTTAAGGAGCCATTTACTTCTTTTTATTAATTTTAATGTTAAGACAAGTTTAGGTGTCGCAAGATTATAAAACAAGCAAAAAACCAAGGTCACTAACTCCTTGCTTTTTTTTCTTTGGGGGAGTGCTTCTTCTGGAGTGAATTGTTGGTATGCTTTAAAAGATTTTATGATTGCACTCATAGGGCTCATGTCTGCTGTGTCAGTGATGATTGTGGAGCACACGGCATGGAAAGGAACATCGGAGACCAGCTCAACAAAGCTTTCGAAGCTTATCGCCAGGTCTCCATTGAAAAGGACAATGCTAAAAAGGAGCTCCAGCAAATGGTAAAAAAATTAGGAGAAGAACTTAGTGTGAAATGAGCCAAATATTATCAGTATAGCAGCACTTTGGTAACAGTCAAATAGCAAGAAACCTATTTTTAAAACATGATTATTAGTTATACATGTGTATGAAAATGTGACACACTCCCAGACATATGGGCATAGACCAGATTGTACATATCGGTACTGATAACATAACTGAAACTTCATTTTTACAGACTGAATATTATGAGCGATACACTCAAAAACTTCAAAAGCAGATAGAGGACCAGCAGCAGCTGATTTCAAAACTTGAAGCTAAGTTATCAGCAACAAGGCAACCATCAGGTTAGTGATATGTGCCATTTGATCTCTCTGCTTATGTGCCGACAAGATAATTTACCCTTTGCATTGCATTGTGGGAATTTTAATGGATTTCCATAGATCATACTGAATCTGTTTCATCTAGCATTGCCTCCTGACAAACTGTTAATTTTCACTCTTTTGGCTCCTAAGGAGAGATGAAATGTGAGCCCTGCAACCATCTCCTTGATGGGGCCAGCGCTTATAGGAAAATACAGTATCCGGTATGTTTGCGGCGTTACAGTGTGCTCTTTCTATGTTTACGCTATGTGAAAACTGCAATATGATGGCTCTGTTTATTCTTCATTCTCGCACTTGATATTATGCATGAGCATACATACAGCTTCCTCTCCCAAAGAAACATGTTGATAGTACTTCTGCTCGATGTCGTTGCACTTGTGCCAAAAAGGATGTTAAAGGAACACAAATGGGAAATGAATGTAGCTGTAACTACGAGGCTCAAAATATGGTTGATCCTTATGTTATTCAACTTCTGAGCGTTATGTTTGTGACTGTAAGGTCTCAGCATCATTCTTTAAGTAACGTTCTTTCACCTCAGTACCTGGCTACACAGTACAAGCCTACAAAGAACTTTCTCAGTGTTTCCAACCCTTGTTTATCCAGCTTTAAAGCAGGTTGCAGGATAGTTAAGAGAAATTCTGTCCTTATTCAGTAATTCTCTCCGATCAGAAGGCAATGTCCGTATGTTTTAATCATTTTATCGTGCTTCCATTCATTTGTTTTTTGAAAGATTCAAACAATTGAGGAAACCTATGATTGCAGTGCTGCAGTAATAGTATCCACCCTCTATCTTCACACAAGGTGTATCCACTTTTACCTCACCAGATGGTGCTAGAGGATAATAGCACAGTTCAGCAGCTTGAGGCTCACTGTTCATTATTTAACAGGCCAGGAAATGTTTTTCATTAGTAGATATACATTTGTGATTTGTGTAAATAAAACTGCAGATTGTATATGCCTGTTGATAATTCTTGCTAATGATCACTATAAATGTAATGTGTCTTTTTTCAGGAGAATATGGGCACTGTTGCTGTTGCTCCTAATATGCCAGTCAACAGCAGCGTTGACTAGTATGTGTCTCTCCTTGTGTCTCTAGACTTAAAAAAAACCCAAAACAATCATGGACATTACAGTTAAGGAATGGATTTTATTTCCTCACTCTTCATTTATTGGTTTGTCAGTCAGGATATGCTGGACGCGTTTGAAGCAATTCAAGGGAAATTCCGGCAGATTCGTTCTCTAACCAGAAGGCAAAAAGATCACCTAAAAAGATTCCATGGAGGAAATGATGCATCAAACGGTAATATTAATATTTACCAAATATTACCTGCCTGAACCTAAATTAACTTGTTTTTTCTTAATTCAATTACTTAGAGAAAAATGTGTTGAATTGAAATAGGTTTGTATATGTCATAACAAGTTATGAATTTACTAGCTTTTGCTTTGTTCTTTAAGATAATTAGATGGCAACACCTTAATAAGGGCTGTACTTGAATGCCTCATTGCCCTTTTGAACCGCGGCTGGCCACCTCTGTGAAAATAGCGTGCATAAACACATTTGATAATTCCACTGACAAGTGCACGATGTTGGTTCTGGATACGAGCTGTGTAATTAATGATATAACGTAATTATTCGTAAAATAATTAATATAAAGTGTGATAAAAATATTTTTCTCTTATGTACGTATTGAAAGGACCCAGATTATATTTTAATGTGTGAAACTTCTCAAATTGTTGCCAAGCTCAAATGTCTTTAAAGCCAGCGTTGGAATACTCAACATGTTGACCGAGTCTGAAAAACGGTGTAAAATTTCATGTTTTTCTGCCGTCTGACAGATCAGCGGTTCTCCATGCCCATCCAGTGCACAGACCGTACAGAAGAGGCAGAGAGACCCTTTTCCTCAGCGCTAAGGTCAGCAGTGGATATCCCACTTCCGCCCACGTCTCTGGCGTCCCGCGGCGCCAGCCCTGAGGACAGGGACTTAGTAGACTCTCTCACCAAACTCAGTGTCAAATTCCCACCCCCTGCGGACAGCGAATATGACTTCCTGAACAGTGCTCCAGAGAGACACATTGGTCTGACCATGCCCACCAAGCGGCCTCTCAGTAGTGTCCCCTCCACATTGCCAGAGGAGGAGCCCGTGGAATTGCCCATGCCTTTTGTCTACCCTACATCCCCCTCCCACTCAACATCATCTTCACTCTCCCAGGAGAGTGTGCGGGGACCCCAGCAGGTGAGAATCACAGGAGAAGGTCTGAGAAAACTAGTAGCAAATTATCAGTTTCTGATTGGTCTTTGCTAATGGAGGAGTGAAACGGTGTGAAGTCCAAAAAAAAAATCCCCTTGGCTTTACTTGAAACGTATTACTGTGTAATGTGTGCTGATTCTTTTTTTACTTAAGCATGGATGCTCTGGTTATATTTGGCATCTTTTGCTGGAAAGTGTGAGCCAGATGGAAGCACATTACAGTGTCTGAATCTGATGAAACAAGTACGATGGTTAAGTGGGATTTTATTTGCTGATGTGTATAAATGCCTAATAAAAAATTGTGAATGACATGCAGTAAGATCTAAAAGTTGGTCCCTTTTTTCACAATATGATTCTCTCCCTGGATTACGTCAACACAGGCATTTAAAATAGGCAAGGCTGCTTTGATAGTTTGGATGAACACATACATAGGAAGATAATTAAACACTTGGGCATAGCCTTGGGTTGACAGAGTACATGTTCTTGTATTCCTTAAAGCAACAGATATTTCAACTTGAAGGCCAAGTGGTCCAGCATGCTTTGATAGAGTGAGTGTAAAGATTGTTTAGAGCATGAATAATATATTGTTTTCTTTGGTTCATCCTGCTCTGCAGTCTCTCTGGAGCCCTGAGCTGTGTGATGCAGTTGACGTGGGGACAGAGCTGGCGACGACTCAGAGCAGCAGTCCTGATAAATGTGCTTTCTGCTACGCTGAGGTTCCTAAGGACCGAATGAAAAGCCACCTCTACTCGCATTGTTCTTCTAAGAGTGAAGCCGACAATTGACATTGGAAGCAGAGACTGATGGGCCATGGCCACAACTACTCCAAGACTTACTGTATTCATGGTCTAGTCCTGCCTGCCATGAAGTATATGCGCTGTACTGGATTTGAAATGACACTGCAATAAGACTTGAATCCATTTATTTAATACTGAAGAATTGAATGGTACACTTTCTTGCCCATTATATTTTTCTAATATCTCGCTGAGACTTTACTTACTAAGTGACGATGATGCATAATATGGTATATATGAGCAAATAAAGCCGACATTTACTCTTGCAACATTTTTTTTTTTTTGAATCGTTTTCAACCTCCATATGAAACAGGCTGAGATACTCTTAAGTGTAGCACATGTTTAAAGACATATGTTGGACAAGATGTGTATTGACTTTCTTTCTGTAACATGTTTATACATTTTTATCTGCAACAATTTGCATTAATAACATGCAACAGTTTTCTTTTAGAAAGACATTCATTCTTAGGCAAATGGTGATGAAGATTTGCTTTCTATAAAACACCCATGCCTCCTTTTCATGTGTTTGTGTTTAACTTTGAAATCATTTTAAAAGTTAGTATGCCAGGTGTTCATTAAAATTATCTACACAGATGGCAACACATACCATTAGGAACACGTTCATTGTTCAATTAGATGCCAATTACCTTGCTATTTTTACAGTAATTCTTTTACTTTAGGCAATATTATACTGTATTTATTGTATTAACATTTAATGGACAAATGAACATGATTTTACTCCAGTAATGCTATGCAAAGTGATAAAATGAGACATTCTAGGTGTTCCAGTTTCACATAACATTATCGGCATATAATAATTAAATATTATATATATATATATATATTTATAATTAAAACAAAATGTTAAAGACACTGTACCTTGACACACATTGAATCACAATTTGGAAATAGAACAAATGACATTTCAGGCAGCAACTGTCCACTGTGTGAAAGGACATCTTTTACAGTATGTACGCTGCCTATTTTGTCTTTTGTAAACAGCAGCATCAGCTTTTGACTTCTGCAGTATTTATTCACACCTTTGCAAACAATTGCAATGATTTTCACCCTTCAGTGTGATGATGTTTGAGGAAACGAGGACACTGTGTGTGTTGGAACACTTCGTTGTGCAGAAAGAACCTTACAGCTCTTCAGCTATGGGCTGGTAACACTTTTGCTGGGTAGATGAGCTGGTGTGAAGACTGCAAACAAGCTTTTTTTTTCTCTTTACAAGTGGTCGGCATCATAACTCACTTTTCATAATCAAATACTGCTTAATAGACTGATTGGTTTGTTATCTTAACCTGAACTGATAGTTGGCGCTTGGCATTTCACTGTGTTTCATAAATAGCTCAGAAGGGTGTAATAAATGTGATGTAGTAATGCTATCAACTATTCCCAACTAGTGAGTCATTAGACTAAGATAGACACAACACATCATCTACGTGAAGGAAAAGAGTGCTCACTTGTCATTTGGTGTTTTTAGAAAAGGTGAATATTACATATTGATGGAATGTAATGTGCCAAACATTATGTGTGTTTATTTTAGAGTGACAAAAACCACATCATTTTACGTTTCACATCACGTCGTAGACACTGAGGGGACAATTTATTCGGATTTTTTTGGCAAATACATATCCCTAATGATCCTCTCTGGTTAATCTGTGAAGAGTCGAACATTGTGCAGCCTGCATGCTTTTCTCTCTGGGATCATGAACAGCTGCTTGCTCATAATTATGTTGTCATTCATTGTTATTTGGAAGAGGAAACTCGTACTGACAGCTAGGTTTTTTTTTTTTGGGTGTATTTCCGTACACTGTATATTTACTCACTTGCGTATACAGTAATGTAAACCATTTGTGAAAACTCCACTTTCGCTCTAAGGCATTTTTTTTAACCACCATTTCCAGGAGATTATGAGATATGTGTGCCTTCTATCTCCTCGGGACACTTGCTACCAGAGGCAGTAGATTTGAAATAGATTTAAGAGCTACAAAAAAATGAAAGAGGACAAAAAAGGGAAAAGGATATGGATTGAGATGGAGAAGTAGCAGGCTGATTACAAGGTGTCAAAATTGCCAGGAGCAAGAAGGTGAAAGCAATCAGGGGTGAGAAGAGTGCAGCATTCGTGAGGGGCAACTAATTATCCATCTCATTTGTGGAGAGAAGCATTTGAGGCAGCTCTAGCCCACTGAATGGTGACAGATTGGTGCGGAGGAGAGGGGAGGTGTTAGAACAATGGAGCCCAGCTCACCATCATTACTGCATGCTAATCAGCAGTGCTTCTGCACCGCCAGTCGGTGCTGAGTTCGGGGAGACAGGGAAGTCACTGGCTTCAGGGGACCACAGTCATTTTCAAGCAGAGAAGAGAGGGAGGAAACTGATGTACAGTACGGCTGTTGGCTCTCTACAGCTGCTTATTTGAGCTTATAGGTTATCCTGTGCAGAGATGAGTTGATTTTTAAGTGGACTGAGTGGAATAATGGTGTAAGACTGAATATACATGTAGTGTCATTCAAAGGTTAATTAAAGAAAATAGAAATCAATCGAATAAGTTTTGAGATTTTAGACTGTGGTAATGTAATATAAATGGAATATACCCAAATGTCCAAGACACTTAATAAATGTAAAAACAAAAATAAGTTAAAATAATGAAAATGAACAATGAGGGAGAAAAAACAAAGAAAGGTAAACAATAAAAGCATAATAAAAAAAATATATGTACAGGAAAAAGAGAAAAATAACAATTTAAATTTCAAATAAAAATTTTAAATAAAGAAATGGTATATACCTGTTTTGCTACTGTAGTTATAGTCAGCTGTATTCGGAGTGAATTAAATTCTGTCATATGGCTAAATGCAGGGCTGCTACACAACAATAGGGGGTAAAGACGAAGAATACAGCTGTGCATTTGTTTTTGCACATTTTAAATCTACACTCATTCTGTGAAATATTACACTTTGTCATGACATTAGTTTTTTTCTAATGGTAAATTTGTAATATCCAGTGTTGATTAACAGAAAGCACAATTACATAAAATGTGCAATCCATAATCCAGTTGTGCACAAAAGGATAGCCCCCAAAAACACAAATCAAACATTGGAATCTGTTGTTAATACCAAACTGTTCGACTATTATTGTTCTCTAATGCTTCTGATAAAGGTTTGATAATATCCACAATGATTAATAAACACCGCTGTAAAACATATATTTTGAGGTTTGCAAAACAGTGAAGGCTTATTTTCGATTTCTAACTCAAACTCTTCAGTTAGAAGTGTAAATCTAATTCAATTTAATTTGGTCACGTATTTGTTGTTTAATTATGAATGTTTTTGTTAATAGAACGGTTATATTTACCAGAACTTTTTCTTTCTTCTTGTTTTGCTCTTTACACCAATTGACCTATTTTTTTTATACTGGATATAATATAATACAGTTCTTATATTCACAGACATCACATCTGTGTATGTCTGGTTCCTGACAATAATTATAAATAATATAATATATAACAACTCTAATATTTTAAATATCTAGATTCTATTAAGCAAACATACCTTTTCCTTTACTGGCCAGTAATTGGTTTTTGATTGTAGTAGGCAATAGACAGATGAGGCGCCATTACACTAAGTCATTATTTTCAACAATTACTCTTCTAAATATTTAAACAATGTTTATCAGATCATGCCATTGCCAAGAAGATATAACACAATTGAGGGGGTGGGTGGGGGTTGTTAAAGGGTTTAATCAAATCGAAACAAAACAGAGAGATAGCAAGTGGATTAAGGTCACCTGGCTAGAATGCCCTCTTCACATCAATGTCATTTCGATAATTAACAACTTAGGAGAGAAGCATATTCAACTGTCTGTGCACTGGTCACCGTTGGCATGAGAGACTGCCAACTCTCATGGCGTTGCGAGCTGAGAGTATCACCTCACAGTTGTCTTGCCATGCGTTGGGCTCCTCGTGCTCTCTTTGCAGAAGTGGTGGAGCTGACTTTGTGTTCGATTAAATGTGTTGAAGCCATCGCTGCCTGTGCAAAGTCTCAGAACAGCCCCTCTCCATTGTGTTTGCTTCGGTGCTGGTCTGAGAGCCCTGATTTCTGGAGCAGAGATTTGGCAGTCACAGCAAGTGATGACAGAGGCAGTGGTGAGATCGCACCCAGAACCCCAAAGGAGGCTCACATTTCAGGCGGGATGAGGGGCTTGTTCAATACACAGAACACAAAAGCCCTGATCGGTGGAGTTTGATGATAGCCATTGTTCTTAAAAATCACATTGCTCAGCCACCACTAGCAAAGGCTACTTTTATATGTTTACTTGTGGAGGTTGGAGTGTTAGACATTTGTAAACTTCTGAACTTTTTGAAGACATTTGACTGCCAATTTGAAATAATTGTACGGCTGAAAGTCTGGCTCTCAAGATGTCATCCTCTTGTTATTTTATTGTCGCTGTTAAATCAGCGTAGGTTGTTTTTTCTGCTTGACACATGGGGGTGGGATGGAGCATGGGGATGTTTGCGGAATGGTAACTTGCAATTCAAGGGTTAAGGCAGCATGAAAGAATCCATTCTCGGTTTAATGACCTAGCCTTGCTGGGCGAGGACGACAGGGAACATGCTCTTGACTTGTACTGAATTTGCCAATTAACACCTCCAATAACAGGCTGCCTCTGAACATCACCAATGTAGAGAGAGGAGGAGCAACTCTCATGCACTTTGTTTTCCAGCCTCTGATCCTGTGATTTCTTCATACACTGAAAATTATTTTGCCTTATACACTGCTGGGTAAATGTTCTTTCATAGTAGAATTTTGTATGAATTGTTAGAGATAAAACCTTGCTTCATGGGCTGTGTGGCCACTGACTATCAGACTGGCAATGATGTTGGAATTATTTTATTTTTCCACGTGCTGCTTGAATCCTTATGTAGTTATTGGACATTCTATTTTTCGCACATGCCCATATGGCCATGTGCAGCTTCAATTAGACACATGGCTGGTAGCTAAGATACACCGTGCTTGATTAGCTTTGTCTCCTCTTATTGTTATACATGAAAATACAAAACAACGGCACTGTCCTCGATATATCTGAAAAGATCTGTCCCCCTCATTCTAGTCAACCCTCTGGTTTCACACATGCTTATCAGACTCCCAAACAACACCTAGTGCAGGTGTGAATATCAAAATCCCCCGTGAAAATCACAGTGGGTACTACTGTGTTGTCCTCGGAGTCCTCTTACATGCAGCAGTGGCTTTGCATTGGGCCTGAGATGCTGCTGGCTAACAACAACTGCAGAAACACCTTTGGCTAAGTGTAAGGTGGACATTTTTACACCAAATGTGCTTAATGACTGAAAAAAACGTCACCCACATCTAATTGAAAAAGGCGCCTAAGTGTACAGTAGCTGGTTTTTGCCCAGTACAATCACACGATAACACGGTAGTTTCACAATTCATTAGCAGGTACTTTAACAATATACAATAATTGAAAGATGGTTGCATAATTGATAGCAGTTCACAC